ACTCCTGGCCTCCCCGCCTAGGCTCCTTAGAGTCTCAACAGGAAGCAGTTGTTGGAGCTAAGCAGCCACCATGAGAAAGAGCTGGCAAAACAGCTCAGTTCAAATTGGATCTGACCGAGAAGGAGACTCAGTAGAAGCACCTCACTGAGTACTACGAGCATAGGCTTTCCAAGCAGAGGGAAGACCTGCGGGAGTGCAAAGCCAGTTATCAGCCCCTGGAGGCTCCACTGGGCTGAGATGGTCAGCCAGTTCCAGACCATGTCTCAGTCCCAGTGGAATGAGGCCCTCTGGCTCTTCGCCACCAGCGGAGCTTCCCTCTAGCCTTTGCCCAAAGCCTTGCACCAGGAAGCTGAAGCAGACCCCAAGTCGGAATTTCTGCCCCCCTCCAACCTGCACTCTCCGAAGGGGTAGACTCTCTGCAGCAACACAAATATTCATTGCATGTATCCGGTCCAGAGGCCGTAGTTTGAGGACCCCTGATTTAGTGAAATAAAAAATGCAAATAATTTTTCTGCGGACCACCAAAATTTTCTCACAGACCATCAGTGGTGCACGCACCACCAGTTAGTCACCGGTGATATAAGATGCCTCTCCTGCAGTTCTTGATGGGACAGATAGCTGTAATGGTCTCTCAGATAACCCAGCTCCATGCCATATAAGGTTTCATAGGTCATAATCAGTATCTTGAATTGAACCCAGAAATAAACTGACCACCAGTGCCACTTGTGGAGAGATGTAACATGTGCTGATTGAGGAAGGCGCATAAATTCCTACACCATCATATTCTGTACATCAATGATCATTTGAATGATGGTCAGGTGTTATAGAATGTGTGAAAGACCTTGGGAGATTTAGGGAAGGGATGTTGCCTAGGAAACAATTGAAAAAGAAACAAAGAAAGGCAGGAGTCCCCAATGGATTATAACGCCCAAGAGAGAAGATATTTACAATAACTTCTGGTATAAGATCAACACTCTGTTCCTTAACTAACTGGAAGGCTATAAGAATTTATGGAATACTTACAGAAATGTGGCAAGGAACTGAAAAAGAATGAGTAAAGTTTGGAACCAAACTATGCCAGCAAATCTGGAGACAGACACAGCGGCCAAGAGATTGGAAGAAATCAAATGCACCATTTCGGTAGAGTGGTGATTATATGTTGATCCAAATCATGCAGATAGTAGTTTTCCTTGTGATATGCTATGGGTATGAAAGTTGGACTATGAAGAAGCAAGGATGGAAAAATTATCGATGCCACGAAACTTTGGTGTTGGAGAAGACCTCTTAGAACAGGGGTGTAAAACTCAATGCCTGGAGGCTGGATCCAGCCCTCAGGGTGCTTAGATCTGGCCCATGGGGCTGCCCTGGACTGGCCTTTGGTGTCTCTGCCAGCGAAAATGGAGCTCAGGAGGGCTGCACATGGCCCTCCCGAAGTCCGTTTTCACTGACAGAGGGTTGCAGGAGGCAATCCTACCCTACCTTACCCTAATCCTATCCCATCCTATCCTATCCTATCCTATCCTATCCTATCCCATCCCATCCCATCCCATCCTATCCTATCCTATCCTATCCTATCCTATCCTATCCTATCCTATCCCATCCCATCCCATCCCATCCTATCCTATCCTATCCTATCCTATC